TCCATCCATCCATCCATCCATCCATCCATCATCCATCCATCCATCCATCCATCCATCCATCCATCCATCCATCCATCTTAGCTCCTTAGTTGATTCTTTTTCCTTCCTTAGAGCAGCTCCATCAGAGGCAGCTGTGGTGGTCTCTGCCTCCACCTGCTGATGAGTGTGGAGAAGACAGCCTGCTGCCTCCCTTACTGTGAATCAAAGCGGATGCTCAGGTATATTTCAGCCACAGTTGCTTTCCAGCGGCCGCCAGCAGCTTCCAGAGGAGCTCTCTGTCCAGACCAGAGGACCTGAACCTGAAGGGAGAAGGAAACCATTCTCATCAGCCATGGCGACTATAGGAGATTTCGATCCCTTAAACTCTACCGTCCCTGCCACTAAAATCGAGGTGACCGTATCCTGCAGGTAGGTCTGCTTCCAGCTGTTTGATCCAGGTGGAAACCTGGGTTCATCTGGGAGGCGCGCTGCTCTGATCCCTGCTCTGGTTTTATCTGACTGCACTTTTCTCTCTTTTTTTGTTACTAATTTAATGGAAAATCTGGGTCCGCTTTAGTCTGAAGGAAAAATAGATATGCTGTGGGTGTGGGAGTGCGTGGGGTGTGTGTGGAGAGGGGCGCATTAAAGCAGCCTGTCTGTAAAACAGCGCATCGCGCACTGATGGCTGCACATCCCACCTACAGGACAGGGAAGTCATCAGAGGGGCAGGGCTCCCTTTGGAAAGTTAGGCACTTATATTTATGCTTATTTAGGAGAAAAATCACCATTCATTCATTTATAATAACCAATGTTCCAAACTAAATTCTGAGACTGTCAGCAAGTTATATTATTTTAACTTAATATTTAATTCATTCAAGAAATATTTAAATCCAAACTGAATATTAGCTGGAACCAAGCTAACACCAGAATTTGGGACAATAAAAGGATTTTCTATTCTATTCTAAATACATTTACTTTGTTAATTAAATATTTAGCTAAATATTTAATTTGCAAACAAAATATTTATTTTGGAGCTAAATATTAATTTGACAAACTAAATAATTAATTTGCGATTTCGCAAATTTTTGAAAAAGAAACACCCCCTCCATTTAAAAAAGAAATGCACATGTACAACCCTGTAGCCG